TGCTTTATATTGAGTTCGGTTATTCATGAGTCGAATAGAGCCAAGGTAAGTGTTCTCTTGTACTCTTTTCAAGCTTAAGTTGTGGTTTAGCTTTTCCAGCTCGCATACTCGTACATTCCATGTACTGATGCCAGTTGGCCTGCATCGTTTTATGATGCAGACGCAGGTACCCAGGATCAGCATCCAGTACGCCGTTGATCCAGTTGAGCACTCCAGAGTCAGTGGTGAGCCTTCTTGCACTCCGAAGGACTCTGTTATTTCATTTTCCTAGTTTTGTTTTATTAGGATGTTGCGGGGTCTGTCCCAACATCCATCTCAGTATTTTAGAGGCTTCATAGACAGTCAGTCAGTTAGTATTGAGTCTCTCATCTATGTATATATAAATATTCTATTTTGAGACTCGAGTTGCCTTTTTGGCCAGATTTTATCAATTAGGTTGTTTTATGACCTTCATTGCATGGAGTTATTCTGTTGAGTTAAGGTTTCCGCTGAGTTAAGTAAGCAAGCCAAGGGTTCTCTTAGGGGCCAGCAATGGTCTTCGAGTGCCGACCACGTCCAGGGTGTAGGCTCGGGGCGTGACAAATTGTATTTTGTGGTTTTCTAATAGCATGAGTGGTTAAACCCCCTAGTTCTGGGGCTGTAGCTACGAATGGATTGTTGATTATTAAAGGCTTTATGAATTAATTATTGGTTGTCATTATAAGTAACTTTTATATTCTTGTTTTAGTATTTTTTGCTTGATCACCATAAGATAAATACATTGTCTAATCTTAAAATCGAGAGATGAGGGATTAGATAGACCAGAGAATATAGAGAGCTCGATCGACCCATTTGATTGAGGTGATTTGTGTTTAGGAGTGACGCCCGGACGAACAACTTGCTTGGTTACAAAATAGAATGAAATATATATGCTCACCAGTTAGTCTATTTATCCCCGTTCAACGATGTAGTTAGAGAGCTAACTAGAGTAGGCGACTAGAGGTGTGTAGCCGACTCATACAATTAACCCTATAAACCAGTAACTTGACAACTGAAATTCGGTCTAAGCCAATAATATGATACATGAGATTTCATTGCATGTTGCATCCCTGGAATTGTCTCTTACTTGCTTGAAATATCATATTAAAGTCGTTCACAACTGGTTACTTAAAGTGCATAATTAGTATTAGTTAACAATCATCAAAATATCTTAAACGGTTACTTTTGCTTTTATTTGTAGAATTAAGTGTTAGATATAAATTGATCATAAGTTCCTTGGGAACGATAACTCGTTTCTTAAAGAACCTATATTACTTGCGCGACCACGTACATTTGCGTGTACATTGGGGAGCAACAAGGTCCATCATAATGATTCACGATCTTACCTTCCCAACACAAGAGCTATCAATGCAGTAGTTCCCCAAGAACTGCTAACATTGCAGACTGCAGTCACCATACCCTGATCCCCGTCCCCCATTGAACAACCAATATTTGTTGTAAAATCAATATATATGGTAAGGCTTAAGACAATTCAATACAATTAGCTAGGCATACACCATAACAATTTTTCTAAAGGACAAAGAAGTTGTTACTTGTTTATAGGTGCATCACAATGAATCACGATCTTACCTTCCCAACACAAGAGATATCAGTGTAGTGGTTCCCCAAGAACTACTAACATTGCAGTCACCGTACCCTGAGTCCCCCCACCCACACCCCCGAACCTCGAGGTAAAGGACAAAGAAGTCGTTACTTATTTATAGGTGCATCACAATGAATCACAATCTTACCTTTCCAACACAAGAGCTATCAGAGTAGTGGTTCCGCAAGAACTGCAAACATTGCAGACTGCAGTCACCGTACCCTGAGCGGGCCCTCACACCCCCTGAACCTCGAGTTAAAGGACAGAGAAGTCATTACTTATTTATAGGTACATCACAACGAATCACGATCTTACCTTCCCAACACAATAGTTATCAGTGCAGTGGTTCCCCAAGAACTGCTAATATTATAGAATGCAGTAACCGTACCATGAGCCCCCCCCTCCCCCACCCAACCCCCTACGGACCTCGAGG